TGTTTTATTTTTTTGGCCTGAATTATCGGTTATTATTATTATTATTTGGCATCAATATTTTAAAATTTTGAATTTTCTTTTGTTCGTTTATTAATCTATTCTTCCTCCTATTATTAATTAAAAAAAGTATTCCTTTAAAGATTTGTCACCCTAAGTAGCAGTTCTTCGGATTTGAACCGTAACTTTACATATTTATATCGGAGCGACTGGTATCAGATTGTATTCAAAGAGGGCAATATCGAATTATGCTCACGACACCTACACAACACGGTTTACCCTACAAATGAAATTGTCCACAAGAACATTATAAAAAGAATGGACCTAAAAACTTAAAAAGCTCTATCATTTATGCCAGCCTGGTCTATCCTACTAATGCAATCATCAACGAAATAATTGTTGTCAGTTCAAACCCATCATAACTTATTCTTTGATTCTTGAACGCTTCGAGGGTGGTGAACTCGACTCGGAAACATCGGCTTCAGCTTTCTCGAGGTCAGCAGTTTTAGGTGCCTCTTGCTGTCCACCCACTTCTGATGAACTTCTCACCAACATGATCTTGACATTAACAGTGTCAGTTCCAGAACTTACATGATTTGTCTGGGAGGCTTCCGGTTCACCTTTTGCAGGCGTCTCTTTGGTAGCATCTGAAGGAGTGGGTGGATTCTCTGGATTAGAAGGTGATGCCTTCAGCTTGTCTAAACCCGACTTTTGCTTCTCGAGCATCATTTGGAGGTACCGTCCTTGTTTTTCTATTTGCAGCTGCAAATTTCTTTGTATCTGCAGGGAAAGGAAAGATACGATGGATCTGAATGAGAGCACACCAGAAATTAAAAGATAAATTTATTTAGATAAATTTGCTTGAGCATCAAGTATTTGCTTTTATGCCCCCAAATTCATACCTCAAGTTGTTCATGCAGCCGCTTCTGGACTTCCATCTGTAGTTGCAAAGCTTCAGTGATCCCCATACCCCTGCTCCAGTTCAAAATTAAAAAAGAAAATGCGTTTAAGACGATGAATTAAATTAAACAAATTAATACAATGAAGCTTTATTAGACCTTGAACGTTAGGTATATTGCTCCTTATGGATTCCATTAGGAATTGACTATAATCAAATCTTTGCACAATGCAACAACAAAATAGGAACAAGACTGTAAGAATTGCAGCTCCGTAAAATTTTATGAACTAATGGGATCCATCAACCATCCCTTTCATGGTTTCAGACAGTGTTCTCCGGAAGTTGAGTTTATCGGATGATTTGCAAGAATTGAAGCATTATTATTTCCGATTAGTAGCATTCCTGCAAATTTTGGAAGACCCTAACCTTGTGCCACTAACCATGTTCTTAAAAGGTGAGATTTCCTTACTAGGAATGGCAACGTCCCACTCATCACTCGTTCATAAGAACAAAGGTCAAAAGATCTCCCACGAGTAAGCTACTAGGAATTTATGAAAGCCCAAAAAGCGTGAAGCAAGTACTCAGACAATATGTCAATGATGCAGTTCTCTAAGTCGGATAAAAAAAATACAATACAGTATTATACCATTATATAACAAAATCAGTAGGAACCACTTACGCTTTCAAATCCAGAGATGATAAATCTTCCGTAGAAGTCGATTTTTTCTCCAAGGATCCTGCAAACGAGTCATAAGTCAGATATACAGTGACAACCCCAATATGCATAATATAAATCATTTAAATCTGTCATGATCCAAAAGCCAGTCACTAAAAAAAGTATCCATGCCAACCACAAAGATAAACACTTTCGTGGAATAAATTAAGGGAAAATTTTGAATGAATGTAAGGAGGAAAATCACAAGGACAGCTAAAAGATTCCAGTTTAACCAAATGAAGGAAAAATTATCTCCACTTCATTTGAGAGGACAAGGACAATACACCTCTCAAGTGTCAACATTGCACCCACTGAAATACATTGCTATGATATCTACTGTATCAGTATGGGAGGACAGGATTATTGAGTGCATGATAGCATGCATCATAAATTTTCACTGGACAGCGCTAAAGATTCTGGAACCAATTAAACCAAATGCATTAAAAAGATCATGGATAAAGACATGATGGAATATATAGTACTGAACAATCCTCCTCAACCCCAACACAAACCACTAAGAGAAAATATCGAAACAAGTAGCAAGGAATAAACCGCAGAGAAAATATCGAAACAAGTAGCAAGGAATAAACCGCCCTTCCAAGAAAAATCTAATAAAGCAAAACTGACTGTAGATGAACGCATGAAGAGAAGTAACACAGATAGGAAAGGAAGCTTAAAGGGAGCTTGACGTATACCTTCTGATGACTCTGGTCTGTATCTGGCAGTCCTATATTTCTGCAGTTAAAGGAAAAACGTAACCAGGGCTTTTGAGCATCCATACATACGTAGATTCTTTAATAACTATAAGAGAGGCGTATGTACCTGCAAATGACTTTTAACATGATAAATAGTCAAGCCTTCAACCTTCATAAGCTTCAGAACACCCTTTGGAGTAGCTCCTGAAATTTGAAAAATACCAGACAGATTGAAACAAACGCCTAGCAATTTTTTGCAAGCAATTTCACGAGAGCCAAAAGGTACGCACTTTCGCTGCCTCCTAGTTGGTTGACAGCCTCAACAAAGGCTTCATGAAGTTCTGGTGTCCATCGCATTCGTGGCTTTGCTGGGGCGTTATTTGCTGATGAAGAGGAGTTTACAACACCACGACTTGCTACAGATGGAGAAGGAAGCTGCTGATGTTTCTGTTCAGATATGGTTGTGTATGGTTTTGCCACCTGATATGCCATGTCAAACAACATGAAACAATGATAAACTATGTCAATAAGTTTAAGTTAACGTGGTTAAGTATAAACTTCCATGATATGAAAAAAATTCCACACCTTTGGTTCCATATCCATAACATTGTCAACGAGGAGCTCATTCCAATTGGAGGCCAACGCATCATCCTCAGTGATAAGGTCTGCCCATTCCTGCCAATCATTACTTTTGCACAAGTCCTCAGATGTCATGATATCACTACAATTAGTGCTTTCTACTTGACAACTTTGGACAGTGGTGCTTATAGGAAAATCAGGGAAACCCGGATCTGTACACCAAGAATCACTATTTTCTTTGTAGTAATGACTTGACATCGTAGATTGAGGCAGCTTTTGGTTAGAAGATTGAGTTAACAACAAAGCTGCAGCACTAGGTGATGCCTGAGAAATGAAAGGAGCATTTCTTGAATGCTTCTCATGACGCAATGAAGATGAGTAATGAAGATCACTCGAAAATCCTGAGGATGATGAGAATATATGACCAACAACCCCACAATTGTTGGAAGAACGAGTTGCACGAACCAGAGGGCTTCCCATCAGTTCTCTTTTTGCAGAAACTTGCTGAGTGCCGGGTAACTTCCGATATGTATCATCCAAAGGTGTTGAAATGGCTGGTAAAGATGATGACGGTCCTTCAGACACCCCCAGGTTTCTTGCACCTGATCTCTGAATGGATAAAGCAGGCCGTGCCTCCATAATTGTCCTTAAATAGAAAATTGAAGACGTCAATTATTTGGTCAACCAATATGATCTTAACTAGCTCAGTTCATACTGTTACAGACAAACAAATGAAAGCAACAGAAAGCATCCCTGTTCTTGGTTGAAAATGCCCAAAAGGAAAGGTCATACCTTTTGGCTTCAATAAACATCATCCAATAAATAAATTAATAATATTGACATGGATAAGAAAAACAGTAATGAGCAACCCCAGAAAACACCGAGGAAATACTGCTAAAATATTAAGATGCAAAGATAAGCAAACATGCTCGCATGCTTTCTTACAGATATGTTAAACAAATAACAATGTGCTTAAATGGATGCCTGTTCTGAAATTCCTAACAAATGAGTTCAGTTAACCCAAACATAGCGTAGAACGAAATGATGCCCACCCTGCAATTCATATCTCGACATGACCATAACTTAATCTGTCAGCCCTTCGTTTTAAAAGCAATTCTTGTTTTGGTCAAAAGCCCACCAATTGAAAACGTATGAAAATTTAACAGAAACTTAATTGAATAGAAAACAATAAATTTCAGATATTCTCCGGAAAGGCGAAATTAAGCAAAACGAAGCAAATGGGTACAGCGATTCTAACCTAAAAACTTGATGGAAACTTCACAGGATTGAAAACCCACCGAAAAGAATCGAATCCAAACAAGAAAGAACTGTGGAGGAAATATTATAGATAATAGGCGGGGTTTTTTTTTTAAGAAATCCGTCACCGGCGTTAAACCATCGGATTACGTTTTTTTGCGTCTTCTTTGTGATCCTTTTCTGACTCTGCAGCTAATAAAAGAGAAACAGTGATTTAGCTGACGAGCTTTTCGTGGCGCGTGTTAGGTCACCTCTCTGGTGATGAGTGGAACATGGTCCTCAACAAGCATCAACAATGGATGGCTTTAGCTGTGGGGTTCACATGATTGTCGACGTGGAGGGTTGTGATAGGCTAGTGGGAAACTATCCGCTTGGCTGCACGTAGGCGTAATTGTGACTCGATGCTCGTATGATTAGAGACATGGTCTTTCAGCTGCTAAAAGGCCAATAGCCACGGGGGACTCTGCAACTAGCATTATAATCTTTTCTCGATTAGCCTTATTTTAAAAAATAAGATAAATTACACATGTGACCATTAATTATAGAAAAAAATCAATCTGAATACTTATCTTTTAATTTTATTAATTATATCATTTAATTATAAAATTGAACCAAGTTGTATTTAATTTTATGTTTGAACCAAGTTAATTTTATGTAAAAATATTTAAGAATTAAATGATTAATAATCTTACGAACAAATATTACTTATATTCAAGTTAGATTTACTATTTACTTATAAAATTTAATGTCTTAAAATATTTACACGTGATCATGGTTGATTTTGTGATTATGAATGGATTAAAATCAAATATCGGTATCATGAACAGATTCGTTGTTTCCTGAAATTCATATATTCAAACAATTATTCCTTATTGTACATTTGCAGGTTGCTTAAGCTCTTGCCAAGGTTCCCTGATGAATTCGTGAGGGAATGGCATCAAGATCGCCAGGCGCTGCACATTCATTTCCGCCCTCCTCAGTTTCCCATAGGAAAGTAGCATAAGCTGCATGAACATGGCTGTAACAACAGAAGAATTCAAAGTTTTTACCCCCCAGTCTACAAATCAAGGAAAATGACAATGAAGGGTGAAAGCAAATTATGATTACCTGTCTTGTGGTGAGGCTTGAACTGCTCGTTCGAAGTAGCTTGAAGCTCTTTCTTCATCACCATGTAGCTCCCACACTAACTTGGCATATTGTGACAGAGTTCCACCGTCTTTTGGATCTGCTAAAATGGCTCGACCGTAATACTCTTCTGCTCCTTCTAGGTCTCTCTTTGACTGTTGAAAGATGCTCGGTGATTGTCGTCTCGAAAAGAAAGTAAACGAAAAGGTGTAAACTGATCATGGAACACTGACCTGGTACAGAAACTGAGCATAGTTCTCCAAAAACAAAGGGTTCCCTGGATTTTCCTCCACCATTCTCTTGTAGTACTCCTCGACTTCACCATCTCCGTTAGAGCCTGCTGAGTTAAACCCACCGCTTCTGTTACCATATCCACCACTGATACCGCTTCTGTTACCGCCATCCGTGGCTGTCTGTATCCCTGTAGGAAGAAACATTTCTTGACCCACCAATCCTTTTTCATCGATAACTTTAACCTGCTCATTCAACAACAGATTGTCCAAACTGATTGAGTTGAATCCATGGCTACTACCCTTGACAGCAGCAATTACCATTTCTTCATTTTCTTTTAACTGAAATTCCTCTTTTTCTTTTTCTTCTTCTTCTTCGAAATCACTCTCGTCTTCTTCCTCGCACCTCGCCCCTGAATTATAAATCGAAAAGGAAGGGATGGTTTCCAACATAAAGCAATTGTTTCTTGCAGAAAGCTTCTTGGGTTGGTTCCGATGATAGAATTCCCCACTGCCATCGTAAGCTGAATGGACAAGTCCTTCCAAGTTCCCTTCGGATTGAGCTCGGCGAAAGCCTTTGAGTTCAAAATCAGAAAACTGATCAACAACGGAAGGAGATATAGGGGAAGAGCCACAATAAACTGCTGTAGAGAGGTGCAGTGAGCCTGGAGAGGGATGAAATGAGAGCCTGTTGTGGTGAGTGCGGCCATGAAAGGAGCTTGATGGGTGGTGTCTGAAAGGGCTGCCTGTTTCATAGTAGTGACTGTTGCTGTTAGGACTATCAGCAGCTATGGAAGATATGAGTGATCCAAGAAGGGGAGTTGAAGAACTTCTTAGCATCATTTCCCCCCTCTTCTTTTCTCTGCTGTCTTTTCTGCTGATGATGGTGCCTTTTGTGGCGGTGCTTTGGGATGTCAAATTCTGTGAACAAATTGAAGAGAGTCGGTGAGCAACTAAAATATCTTCTCTGATATTTATATTTCTAGTTAACTTATAAATATTGAGATTTGAATTGATTTATTATATCATTTGTGTGGGGGAGGTATCTTTGATTTGATCTTTATAAAGGATAAAAAATCAACTCGACGTTTGGAGAAGGTAATTTAATTCAGATTTATTAATTTTTAATTTGATTTCATTTAAGAGTTATTTGTCAGAAAAAAAATTAAGTTTAAATTAGATCAAATATTATAAATATTAAGATCGGATCAGATTTTGATTTAGAAGAGAAAATTTCGACTTAATTTTAATTTGAAATTAATATAATATTTTTCTATAAAATTTTTTTATTTAGATTTTTATTTTATCAAATAAATATAAAATTATATATATTGAATCAGATTAAATATAATTTTTTGTCCTACGGATGAAACCTCTTTAAACACTTAAATTTAAGTCAAATCAAATTCAAATAGAAAAAAAATATACTTTTCAGATAAGATTAGATTAACTAAAATTTAACCTGTTACCATCTAGGTGTGCCAGGTATTATTTGGTGCAATTACCACGTTTGTTACAACGTTAGCCAGGTGGAGTTTTTAAGGTCTTTATACTCGGTTTCATTGCCACGTGACGAGAAACGTTCTGTTTGGAACATTCTGCCCTCGGACAGGACAGCTAATCATGCTCTGCATCGTTGCAATAATGCAAGCAACTGGACAATTTGAAGAGTTTATTAGTTTTGGACCTTTCTATTTTTCTTTTTTTTTTGTCTTGGAATCTTTCTCCAGTCGGTTGCCTTTTTGCAGCCATGTTCAAAATTTTCATTTTGTCAAGAAAAGCATCTGAGGTACAATGAGAATTAACATATATGAACCAGTGATTACAAGCATTTAACAAATACAATGCTACATACAAAATAGAATTTAGTTATGGAAAGTGAACTGTTATTCTGTTCCTAGAGCAGACCATTTACCGGTTGTTAGGTATGACTCATAAATATACCAGTAAAGAGGACAGGAGATGGAGCGGAGTGAACGAAGCGAACATCAACTGTCCTTACAAAGAAAGTCTCGTTGTGGGGTTACGAATTATGTAGCTTGAGGGTGCGGGGGCGCAGGCCCCGCGGTACGGTACAGGGTTAATTTTATAATTATGTACCAGGGTTTTCTATTATAAATAGAGATGTAACCTAGACCTAAAATATCATTGAATAAAATTCTAGCGCCGCCTAGGCACCGAGGACGTAAGCACATTGCCGAACCTCGTAAAATTCTCGTGTTCTTTCATTTTCTTTACCCGTTTTCGTCAACACCGGTGATGTGCTAAACACCGGCATCTCTTTGGTCGATGCATTTCCGCCATTGCTGCTGCTATCACTTTTCCTCCTCGGCTTTGCTTCACCGAGCATCGTAATCACGTCCCGCATGGATGGTCTGTCCTTGGGGTGCTTGGCAGTGCAGAGTAGTGCTATCCTAACGACTAAGAGCATCTCCACTTGGATGTTCTTACAGTTCCCTAAATTAGGATCTAATGCCTCTTCTAAAGCTTTGTTGTCTCCAACCTTTCTTCTAATCCATTCAACAATGTTGGCAGATTCTCCGAACTCAGGATCTAAAGGCCGCTTCCCAGTTAAAAGTTCGAGTAAAACCACCCCGAAGCTGTAAATGTCGATCTTTTCATCGACCTTCAAGGTGTAACCATACTCTGTTACATGAGCATTAAGAAATAAATTAGGATTGTCGTCAAATCCATGGAAATGAGATGTTAAAACTGCCGACTTACCAGGAGCTATGTAGCCGTAAGACCCTGCAACCATCGAGACTGTTTCATTCTTTCTGACCATCATCCTAGCCAAACCGAAATCAGCGATTCTTGCCTCGAGATTTGCATCGAGCAGTATGTTGTTCGACTTGATGTCTCGATGTATAACAGGCGGATGACAATCATGGTGGAGATAAGCAAGCCCTTGTGCAACTCCAAGTGCTACGTTATACCTCGAAACCCAATCTACCAGCAACCGACCGGCTTGCTTGCCATTCAAGGCATCTGCTAAGCTACCGTTTTGCATGTACTCATACACCATCATCATGCTAGTATCATTATGAAGGAATCCTAATAACCGAACTATGTTTCGATGCCTAAGTTTCCCTAGGAGATTCACCTCTCCGACGAAATCCCCACCCTTCCCAGATTCAACATCAGCTCCCGACCTCCACAACTTTTTAACTGCTACAACTGCATTTGACTGTGGAATTTCAGCCTTGTATACGACCCCGGTGGCTCCCATCCCGACCACATTTGTTTCTTTGATACAGTCTACGATGTCAGCAGCTGTGAAACCAACAATTTGGAATGCCATTAATCTCCATGGCCATTCTCCCTTTCTTGCTTCAAACGTTTCTTTGAAGCAACCACCATGTGAGTACCACTTTTTATAGAGCAATCGCCCACCGATGAGTAAGATTCCAGCTGCTAGAACCAAAGAAATCCCGATGAGCCACTGGGAAACAATATGCTTTGCTCGCAAGCTTCTTTGCCTTGACGAAGTTTCTGAATACAAGTTACATGGAGGGAGAACACCACCGCAGAGACCGGCATTGCCGATGAGGTCATCTGGATTGATTGTTCGTAGCACACCATTTGCAGGAACCTGTCCCTCTAGTCTGTTATATGAAACATTGAACATTTCTAAAGCTGGAGAGGTTCCGAAATTGTTAGGTATCCCACCTGATAGAGAGTTGTTAGACAGATCAACAACAGCCAAAGTGGCCATCATCGCAATTGATTCCGGAATTTCTCCGGTCAATCGGTTACTCCTCAGATTCAAAGTGACTAATTTCTCACACGAAGCGATGCTAGCAGGAATACTTCCTGTGAAATGGTTTGTTGCCAGATCAAGAACAGATAGTGAAGGCCAATCCTGAAACTGATCTGGGATTTCACCATCCAAGTAATTGTTGGCGGCAATGAATGTTTGCAGGCTCGGGATAGAAAGAATGGTAGACGGAAGAGAAGATTGAAGGTCATTACTAGAAAGATCAATAAAAGAAAGTGATGTAGATGAAGTTATATCGTCCGGGATTCTTCCGGTGAGGCTGTTGTTTGCCAATTCTAACCTCTGAAGCCTCCAAAGTTTACCGAATCCTACCGGAATTGTCCCGGATAGAAGATTATTCTGGATTCGAACACGAACAAGCGACGAACAGTTCGATAAGCTGACCGGCACCGGACCTGAGAAAGCATTGTTGAATAGAATGAGTTTGCTGAGATTGCCTCCATTGCACAAGGTTTCTGGGATTTCACCAGAGAACGAGTTCGACGATACGTCCAACCACAGCAACGGTGAATTCTTGCCAAGATCGATTGGAAGTGATCCTGACAAGGAATTGTTCCACAACTCAAGCACCTGCAATTGTGTCAAACCTCCAATTCCAGCAGGAACCGAACCTGATAACCGATTGCACATTAAGTTCAAGAGCTGTAAGTTCTTAAGCTCGGAGATCTCAGCAGGGATTTCTCCAGATAACTCGTTATCAGACAAATCCAGCACCTGCAACGAACTGATGTTGCTGATCGACGGATGAATCTTTCCTTCAAAACTGTTCTGATACAAGAAAACTGTTTCCAGTAGCTTGAGTCTCCCTAGTTCAGCTGGAATCTCTCCATTAAGATTGCCAACAGCCAGATCAAGGTACTTTAGACTAGAAAGGTTACCGAACTCGACCGGAATACCGCCTTCGAATTCATTGTACCCCATAATTATAGTCTCCAGTGATGAAAGCTGCCCGAGTTCCCCCGGTATCTGGCCTGTAAGATTATTCCCTGAAAGGCCAAGAAACTTCAACTTCTGCAAGTCCTTGAAAGACTTCGGGACTGAACCCTGGAAGAAATTTCCTCTCAGGTCTAGAGTCTCCAATGAAGTTACATTGCCAAGATCCTCAGGGAGCACACCTGTGAAACTATTGCTCGAAGCATTCAGCAACGTTAGCCCCGAAACTCTTCCAAAACACACAGCAAAGCTCCCATTGAATGAATTCTGGCTCACGTCAATGCTCCTGAGTGACGTGAGATCCGTTACAGTTTCCGGTAAGGCCGACGACAGTTCGTTGCAGCACAAGTTGAGAGAACTAAGGTGTTTCAGCTGTCCAATATCGTCCGAAACTCGTCCGCTGAGATTCATGTAGGACAGATCAAGCTTTTCAACTGCCCCATCAGAGTTGCACCATATTCCAGTCCAGTTACAGTGAGCTTTTCCCGGAAACTTCCAATCATGGAGGCTATTCAAAGGATCGACAAGACCGGCCTTTATCGACAACAAAGCCGAAACTTCATCATTCGAGCTGGGTTTTTCAGCAAGACCGAAAGAACAAGAACCAATGCAGTAGCACAAGAAGAAGAAGAAGAAGAAGTGGGTTCCCAGTTTCATATTGATCTTCTTGACTGGCATCTCAGTGGACCATCTTCCACAATGAAGAACTATTAGCAGGGACAAGTTGAGCAAAGTGGCATGTTACAATTACATTTGTGTTTCTGAACTTCGATGATCAAGTGATGGGGAAGAAGACTGGTTAATGTATAAGTTTTGGTATATAAAATATTAAAGAAATGAGTGATTAGTTTAATTATTGGAGAGCTCGTGAGATCTTGGGTTCTGGAACAGCTGTTAATCGAAGTAATGACGAGCAAGCTTTTGGACTTTATTGGAAGTTTCCCTGACATTAAACACGGAAAAGAATACGTTTCTTCCTTCTTCGTCTTTTTTTAACAAAGGATTAATTATACTCCAAGACCATGAACTATTCAGAGTTTAGAAATTTGGTCCCTCTTCTTTTAGTTACAAAATTAAAAGAACGGGTAACTTGTAAGTATGACAAGAATGTAGGATTTTATTGTGTGGGTAAATGATAATTTTGAGTAGAAATACAAAAAGAAAATGAAAAGGCTGCATGTGGTCCAAATCATTTTTGTAAAGAAATGGTAACTTGTAAGTATGACAAGAAAATTAAAAGAACAGTTGATATACTTCACTCTTTGTGTGATTAGGCACTGATAAACCCAAATTACAGAGAGAGAAAAACACTAAACAATTATAGGATGAAATATAAATTTTTTATCATTTAACTTTATTCTCACTCCTATTTTAGCTACTAAAATTTAAAAATTTTCAATATACTCGTTAAACTTTTAATTTTAGATTCCTTTTGATTTCTGGTGATTGAACATTATCTTACAAATTTCTGCAGTGGGGAGGTGAAGAAGATCGAAACAAGTTGTATATCTTGATTCTACACTGAACACATGATCAAAATTGTAGATCAAAGTGGTTTAGGGTTTTATAAGTTGTAGGTTTTAGGTGAGTTTTACGAGTTTTTATATGATTTTGAAAAAAATCTAAATTAATAGAATTATAGAAGACGATGAGACGAGTTCGTCAGTGTCTTGAGTGGTTAGAAAAAATACCAAAGGATTTTAGTCCTGATGCGATATAAGGATTAAAGTGTAAAAACTTTCATCTTTAAAGGAAGAAGATGAAATAAAACAAAATTTAAAAAAATGTGTTAAGGATGTGGATAACACTTGAATGCCATGTAAAGAAAAGCAATCAACTCAAGTTATTATCATATCAATCATTTATGTCTAATATAACGCTTGAGTGAGCGAATTGAAAATTCAATGAGTAAATTGAATTTTTTAGACTTTACTAATTAAAATAAGATCGAGGAAAAATTGAGTAATGGAATCTATATTTTACCCATAATTGTAAACCCTCATTTATCATTTTAGAGACATAAAAATGAAATTCTTTTGTATTTATTTGATTATTTAATATATAATTAATAAAGATTCTTTACAAGCACCATTAAGATAATGAAAAATGTATTTAAATGCATTTATCATGGTCTTAATGGTACTTCAAAAATTATTTTTTTCATGTATTCAATAATTATTCATAAATTAATTCTATGTGAGTGGGACTTTAGTTATTTGTTATGATTGAATTGGATAGAATCTTTCCACGTTATATGCCAACTAAATTTAGGGACTAAGAAGAGAGAGACAAATTTTAAAGATGTAAAGTTATTTATTATTTTCATTTTGATTAATCAAAACTATTATTATTAAACTTGATAGATATTAATGAATAAAAATGATTAGTTCAATTTAAAGCTTGCAATAATATTAACCGAATGATTACATAATTTAATTTAATTAAAATATTAATTAGTTAGTAAAATATGTTTTATTTTCGAAAAATTCTACAACGCTCGTCGAGTGTGGATGAGCACCGTTAATGATGAGTATCATTAAATTAATTGATAAAACGTTAAGTTATAAATTATTAAACGTATAATTACAAATTAATTACAAACCTAAATGTAATTTAATTAAAATACAATATTTATTTCATAAAAAAATACAATATTTATAAAACATTAGTTTTTAAGATAAACTATACTATTGACCACCTAACTATTGACCCCTTTTAGTTTAACTACTGTTTTTTTAAATTTGTCAATCAGGTCACCTAACTATTTCAATATTGTCAATCAAGTCACCTGCCGTTAAATATAAACGAAAGAGATGATGTGGCAATTAAGAAAATTTGTATAATTACACATTTAGTCTTCGTTACTTACACGTTCTATTAATTTGGTCTTAACTTTTATTTAATTCAATAAATTTAATCCTCAATCAGATGATGACATGAGTCACTATGTGATTAGATTTTTTTTATATTTTTATTAATTTAATAAAATTTTCATCCAATCAAATGGTGTCGGGTGTCACCAATTGAATGAATAGAAAATAAATTGAATCAATAACCGCTGCTGGTGAGGTTTGAACCCTAGAAGTGAGGAGACAAAGCAAATGTCCCAACCATTAGGATGCACCATTCAAATGACAAATCTATCACGACATAATATATATAGATAATGACAATAAAAAAATAAAATGACCTAATAAGAACTCTAACATGGAATAATTGAATAATACGATAATATGATATATATATATATACACAAATATTATAAATGATTAATATGTGAATATATTTTATTTATATTTTAAATTATTTTTAATGAAAAATAAAAAAAAATAAAAATAATTTTAATATATTATGATTGAAATATAAAGAAGAGCTTAGTTGAATTAGAATTTTTATGATAATTGAGGGATTATTGTAGTAAGCATTTTAACTTATGCATTGACGTGTTTATATCTCGGTTAGAGTAAGAGTTTTATATTTTATTATTTATGCATTATATATTTGAAGAAAATTTTAGGGGTACTTGATTTTATTGAATTGATCTAATTTTAATATAGAGTTGTTAAATAAGATTAGAATTCGATCGACGTTATAATATTTTAAAATATAAGATATGATATGATACATATATAGATAATGAGTTTTATATTTTATTATTTATGCATTATATATTTGAAGAAAATTTTAGGGGTACTTGATTTTATTGAATTGATCTAATTTTAATATAGAGTTGTTAAATAAGATTAGAATTCGATCGACGTTATAATATTTTTAAATATAAGATATGATATGATACATATATAGATAATGAGTTTAGGGTTTGGACCCTATACCATTGGAATAAAACAAGGAACCCTAGAAGTGAGGAGACAGAACAAATGCCCCAACCATTGAACTGCACCATTCAAATAACAAATCTATCACGACATAATATATATAGATAATGACAATAAAAAAGGGAAAATGACCTAATAAGAACTTCAACATGGAATAATTGAATAATATGATAATATTTATATATATATATATATATATATATATATATTATAACCGATTAATATGTGAATGTATTTTATTTATATTTTAAATTAAATAAAAATAATTTTAATATATTATAATTGAAATATAACGAAGAGTTTCGTTGAATTAGAATTTTCCTGATAGTTGAAGGCTTATCGTAGTAAGCATTTTAACTTATGTATTGACTTGTTTATATCCCGGTTAGAGTAAGAATTTTATATTTTATTATTTATTCATTATATATGAAGAAATTTTTGGGGAAACTTGATTTTATTGAATTAGTCTATTTTAATATAGAGTTGTTAAATAAGATTAGAATCTGATCGACATTATAATATTTTAAAATATAAGATATGCTACATTTTAGTTTAATAAAATTAGAATAATGAAGACAATTTATTAATTTAAAATATGTAAAATGATACATTTCAATTATAACATACTAAATTCACTTTTATTTTAATTTTTTTGCATTAAATGTGATTTAAGATATAAATAAAACATATTCATTTATTAATCAATTATAATATTTGTTTATATATATTTTATATTTTCATACTATTCAATTATTTCATGTTTGAGTTCTTATAAGGTCATTTATTACTATTAAATATATATATATATATATATATATATATATATATATATATATATATTATGTTATGTATATTAGACAAATTTTGCAGTCTAACTTAGTGGATAAGATGCTTAGTTTTCCTGCTTGTTTCCCAGTTTCAAATCCCACCAGCAACAATTATTGATTTAATTTATTTTTCATTCATTCAATAGGTGACACGTGACACAATTTTATTGGATGGAAAATCTATTAAATAAAAATATTAAAAAAATCAATTACATAGTGACACATGTCACCATCAGATTGAAGATTAAATTTATTGAATTAAATAAAAGTTATGACCAAATTAATAGAATGTGTAAGTAATGAGGACTAAATGTATAATTATAAAAAAATTATTAATTGTCATGTCATCTATTCCGTTAATATTTACCGGTAGGTCGCTTGATTGATATGATTTAAATAGTAGGCGACTCGATTGACAAACTTGAAAAATCGGTGGTTATAGTAAAAGGGGTAAATAATTAAGTGGTTAATGGTATAGTTTACCCTAAAAACCAATGTTTTATAAATATTATATTTTAATTAAATTACATTTAAATTTTTAACTAATTTATAATTATACATTTATTACTTTATTGTTTAACATTTTATAAATTAATTTAATAATACTCATTATTAACAGTGTTCATCATCCTTTCTTTTTTCTATACATTATTATATAATTATTGTTTTATGATGAAAATAGATTTAACAGAGAGAAAGGGTGTGCATGTGGATAGATTTGTCTTTATTCTTTAATTGATTAATTTATATTAAATACGGTAGAAATTAATTAATTAATTAATTTATTTTATTTATAATTTAAGAGTTAAAATTTTTAACATATTTTAAAAAATTAGTATTTCATTTCATTTCATTAAATTAATCAATTGACTTCTCAGTAAATTTATTTCTTTAGAAAGAAAAGAAACTCCCAATTGCAGTATTAAAGAAAAGGAATGTTCTGTTCATTCAACAATTAGTAAAGAAAATAAAAGAAAAATGATAAAGAACTGAAGTGAAGAGATGCTGCACATCATCGATCATGATCCACCCACTATAACTTCTTTTCTTTATATTATAAATATTAAAAATAAAATAAAAAATTAAACTCTCACATGCTAACATGTGGGTTGATACTTGATTTTCTTTTATCCTTTTTATTTTTATTTAATAAAGGTGAAAAGGTGCAGTTTCTCTCTTTATTTTTATTTTATATATATATATATATATTAAATAATTTTTACCTAAGGGAGAGACGACCGTTCCAACACTTAGCCCGTCCTTGAAAATATCATTGGAG